TCTGAGTTCAACCATGTTCCATAGACTCCCAAAGACCTGGAGAAGAAAGAGAGAGAAAGGAGGAAGGGCTGCTTGGTCCAAAGTGTGGTGAGACTTGGGGTCTCTTGAGCCCATGGACAAGGACATAGCCATGGAGGTCTAAAGCTGAAAACAAAGCGTCCAGCTGACATGAAGTGAGGGGAGACACACAAGAATGCCAAACTTGAAGATAGTACTCACTCAACCTAGCTTCAATGGCTTGATGATCAGAACTCAACTAGAGGAAGATTAAAAAAACATTTCTGACAAAGGAAAACAAGAATAAATTGCTATAGTTTGATGAACTTGACCTATACTTATGAATCTAGTAGCTCAAAATACCAACAGAGAGGGAAAGAGTCTTCACATCAAGGATCAATCCAATCCCCACTGTATATAGAGTTGATAGGAATGGGCAACTTAGACATTGACTACCTAAAATGAGGGGTCTATAAAGGCACAAAGTGACTGACTTACAAGTTTTCAAGAGGGAGTTTAGTTTCAGAGTGTATGGGGGAGGGTAGAATCCCCAATGAATAGTAGTCTCCTTGTCTAGATCAGTCTGGTGAAAAGAGATGGGGTAAGATTCTTATGACTCAACAGTGAGTAATTGTTATCATGACTAATTGCAACTGTCATAACTGTAAAGGTAGAAGTTTTGTAACAAAAAGAGGGGTGTAGTTAATCTTACAGTGCAAGAACAGAGGACCCTAGAACCATCAAGGGAGAAGACCATGAGCAGAATGTGGGACCCTATCCAGAGAAGCAGCGACACCAGAGGTGGAGGCAGAGATGAGGGCATGGAGAGAGAGAACAGCTGAGGACTCTAGATTCATGGAAAGAGAAAGGCTGTGTGCTGACAGCCAGGTGCTGATAGCCAGGAGGCAGTCTTGCAGAATGTGCCCTTTGGTTGTTTAAATAATTATATATTCCTGAGTGTTTTTGTGTACACCTACCCCCCAAAAACAAAAACAGAGGGAATAGAAACAAATACTTTTGAATGATGATGCACAGATAAGATTGTAATCATTGCAATGAAACAATAAGTGTAAAACCAATGTGCTCCCATGTGAACTCTCATTCAATTTACAATAAAACTTTAAAAAAAAAGAAAATGGAGGACAACTGTAATCATCGAAATGAAACAAAATATGTTTTGTTGAATTGAAAATGAATGATTTGTCATGTAAACTTTCACTCAATTCACACACACATGAAAAAGGAATCAATTTAAAATGTAATTTTTTTCAGGTTTAATCGATGATTCTTTTAAATATCTGCAATGCTGTCAGAATTTTAACACTTATTAAGTTGTTTGAACTTAAATACTTAAAAAACAAACAAACAAAAATATTAGAGATTTCTTCAGTATTGAGTGTCATGGAAAAAAAATGCAGAGACTGAAAGCACTGTATCCTGAATGAGTTTGGGCGACTCTGTCAGCTGTTTGAACCCATCAACTACTCCATGGGAAAGAGATGAGAATTGCTGCTCACATAAAGATTTACAGAACCAGCTAGATGGCACATAGCCACTACCATTACCAAGGGTTTGTTCAATTGTTTCAAAGTGAGGACAAATTCCCATGAGCTTAAAGCAGAGCCTCAGAGCTGTGGCACCCCATTCAGAGATGGTGGCCATCTCACTATGAATGTGTATGGCTCTCCAGAGTCCTGAATCAGGTTCTTGAAAGGAGGGCTCCTTACGCCTGTTCCAAAATCTCCTGTTCCAGGACTTGCAACTCGTAATTTCTCTCTGTCTGGTTATAGTGACAAATCTCCCAAATTGTGAAAATCCTGGCCTGTTTCTGTTTCATTTTGCTGATCATGATAGTAATGGTATGAAGCCCTATGTTAAAGGGCAAATGGGAAGTGTCTTCAAATTGGACATTTGCAGCCAGGACTGCATGGACTTGGAAAGTAGATTTTTCCCATTACTGTAAATGTGAAATGTCAGATAACGTAATAATCAACAAATAAGGAGTAAGTGTGGAGTCCTGGTGTGGCACTGTGGGATAAAGTACTAAACTGCAAGGTCGATTTGCACCAGAAGGTCAGCAGTTCAAACTCATAGTTGTTTCTTGGGAATGCTATACAAGGTTGCTGTGAGTTGGAACCAACTTAACAGCACTTAACAACAAAGAATAAGTGTACATTATATTTGAATATGTTCTTTATACTATTTAAGAGATAAGCTATAAAATATAAAATCATTTATAGTAACATATTTAACATAAATTTAGCCTAATTTGAAGGTAGTTCAAGCCCATTTATACAGATTAAATATGGGATTAATTTTGTTGTTGTTGTTATGTGCCATCGAGTCGGTTATAGATACCATCAAATATAAGGGAAATTATTATTATAGCAAGGAGCTCTGGTAGCGTAGTGGTTACGAATCGGACTGTGAACCGCAAGGTCAGGAGTTCGAAACTACCTGCTGTTCCGCGGGAGAAAGCTGAGGCGTTCTGCTCCCGTAAAGATGTACAGCCTCGGAAACCCTGTGCAGGGTCGCTATGGGTCGGAATCGACTCGACGGCACTTAACAACAGCAACAACATTATTATAGCATATTGTTGTTGTTGTTATTAAGTGCTGTTGAGTCGATTCCAACCCATAGTGACCCTATATAGGGTTTCCAAGGAGCAGCTGGTGAGCCTGAACCACCAACTTTGCAGTTCAAACGATTTAGCAGTCTGATGCATTAGCCCACAGCACCACACCAGGACTCCTATAGCAGATTAGGTTAGGTTATACTCTATTATTTTCTATTTTTTAGTTTGTCTGATAAAGCACAGTTCAAATGCATTGAATATCCTCCAGGGTGTAAAAACACCAAGATAAGGATAAATCTAGATGCTCTTATTGCAAAGACAATGTGAGTTTAAGTAGAGTATGTCTTTACTGAGGGACCCTGGTAGTGTAGTCATTAAAGCATTCAGCTGCTAACCAAAAAATCTGAGGTTTGAGCTCCCCAGCAACTCCATGGGAGGCAGATGTGGCAGTCTCCTTCCATAAAGATTGTAAAACTTGGAAACCAGATAGGGCAGTTCTACTCTGTCCCATCGAATTGGTTCTAATTCATCGAGACCCTGTATACGGTTTCCAAGTAGTGAATGATGGGTTTGAACTGCAGTGTTTGAGGTTAACAGTTCAGTGCTTATCCTACATTGCCTCTCCAGGACTCATCCTACAGGGTCACTATTAATCAGAAGCAATTTGAAGACAATAGGTTTGGTATATTTGCTTTATGTCTTTACTGAGTACTCCCTGGGTGGTTCAAATGCTGAGTGCATTCAGCTACTACCTAAAAGACAGAAGTTTCCAGCCTATCCAGAGACACTTCAGAAGAAAGACCAGGTGATCTACTATTTAAAAATCAAACACTGGGAACCCTACGAAACACAGTTCTAATCTGACACACACGTTTGCTATGAATCATCATGAACTTGATGGATTTATTTTGTTTTTCATGAATAACAGATGGAATTTAGATAATAGCTTAGGTATGCATGTTATGCCTATGTCTTCCTTTTCCAAATAAGAAAACAATTAAGCAACCTACTTAGAAAGTAATATGAGAGGAAACAGAAAAACTTTCCTGTAGCTGGGTTCATTTTGTTAAGCCAATGTTAGGTGGCACATACAGTGGATTTCCAAGGACAATAAGAATAGAGGTTAGCTTTTGAAAACGGGTGAGTGAATTACAGATACTGCAGGGACATTTTTCAAGTTGTTCCTCTTCCTACACTTTAAAATTGAGCTATAATAATTCTCAAATCATTCTCCTTGGTTATTTTTATTTTTATTTATTTTATTTCACTGGCTTTTATAAAAGCTTCCAACTCAAGAGAGCTATTTTCAATTAGTGCACATTTAAAAAAATTGCAAATCACATATAGAAGCAAACAATCCCTTAGATTTTCTCCTCCAGTTTGATTCTGTGAGAACTAAAACCAGGTTGTCTTGTTGCCTCACAATCCACTGGCACACAAGTCTTGAGTAGTAGTAGTAAATCTGCTAGTTAATAAATACTGAAATGCTGCAGTGAAAAATAATATATATATTTTCACTTTAGAAAAATATTTAAATTTAGTCTACATTTAGAAGTATAAGCAAATATTTAACCAAAGGCAATGTTCAGTTTGATATGCATATTTATTACATTCTCTCCCAGTAAATGCCACAAAGAATTAATTTGAAGGGAACAGTAGCTGTGATGAATTTTGACAAACATGTCAACAGAAAAAAATTCAATTGCATTTAAATGCAGAGATCTTTCACGTACTAATGCAATTGATGATAATAGAAGCTGTCTTTCTCTCAGAGAGTATAATGTGGTAACATTCAGAATCCCATTTCACTTTCAGTTAGAGTCATTCATTACTACTATGGTCAATGTATGAATCAGAGCAACTGAAAATGAGACACACTATCCATCAGCAACCATTACTCACTGAATAACTTCTCAATGTACAGGCTAAAAAATATTTTATTTACTTGAAACTGATAGGTATGAGCAAATTAGGAGAAAAGAATACACCTTCCTGGCCAAAATAAATATTTGGTTACTTTATGCACAAGTCACAATCCCACAGAACTTTTGTGAATCATATGATCATGGTGGTGCTGTTTGTGTGCCATAGAGTCGGTTCAGACTCACAGTGACCCTGTATAGGGTTTGCGAGACAGTAAATCTCTATGGAAGCAGAAAGCCTCATCTTTCTCCTGCAGAGCCATTTGTAGCACCCCATTTTGTAATCCATGATAGTACCAGGGCTCCTTCATATCATTGTAGGATGGTATTTTCATTGTTGTTGTTGAAGATAATGAAATTACAGGTATGATTCATGAAAAGAAAATGAGTTGTATTTAATTGTGTTTCTGTCTCTGAAAGAGAGTATGTGGTCATTATAAAGGAAATGAAATTTGTACATGTTTGAACACATTCTATCTGAAAACATTATGTTTATCTATTTTAAGGTAATGGGCAACACTTCCTATATGTCAACTCCTCTGGCCCCAAAGAATACACTGCAAGGATCACTACTTCAAAATACTTCCCAGCGAGCCTTGGAATGTGCACTGTCCGGTTCTGGTTCTACATGGTCGATCCCAACAATATGGGAGTATTAAAGGTACAAAAGGAATACAGAGATTTGTATAACATTTGTTTAAGTGTTGTTTTCCTTTTATTCTGCTACTTTTTGTTTGTTTCTATATTTTGCCCGAAGGTCAGTGGGAGAGGTAGTTACAGTACCCGTGCTGATTCCATTAATTTCTCAGTTGTTTCTGGCAAGCAGTGCTGTCATTCATCTTAATCTCATTCAAGTTGCATCTCATTGATGGATGCTACCTGAGCTCCATTACTGGGCATGCTAGTTGAAGGATTATCTGGGGATAAAATAGTATGGGCAGATGCTATATGTTGTTTGTAAACATATAGAAACAGTGAGGAATTGTGATGTAAGAGGTTATGATAAAGAATATTTTCTATACAGAACACAGTAAAGGCAAAGGAAATGTAACATTTCAATTATCTAACAGTTCATACTAAAAACAACATACCTCCCTATTTTTAACTGATTTAAAACAAAAATCTGCACCAAATACAGATGTCTTTAAAGAAACAATTTGCTGCAACTATACTTCTAACTGTATGAATAATCAAGACACTTTTCAGTGATCATGAATCCATTTTGAAAACTCTTTTTAATAAATATTATATTCTGATATATAATTTTTTAATTAAACAACTTATTTGAATAAATACTATGGGAAATTTTCCCCTTACTTCAGACATTGCTATTGTTGTTAAGTGCCTTCAAGTTGGTTCTGACTCAATAACCCTGTATAGGGTTTCTAAGTGGATTCGAACTGCCTATCTTATGGCTAGCAGTCAGTGCTTATCCTACAGTGCTACAGCAGGACTCTGTTGTTGTTGTTGTTGTTAAGTGCCATCGAGTCGGGTCGCAGGACTCTGTTAGCCCTTGTTAATAATAAAAATACTAATTGTATCCTGTCTTTTCAGAATTTGCATTATAAACTTAACATATGTTTTCAACTTTAATTTTCACATTCATCTGATGAGATAGATATGTTTTCCTAATTTTTCAATAAAGAGAAATTCAAAGAGACTTAATTAGTAACATTTCCAATATTACAGAATTACAACAAATCTAAATTCAAAATTGCTGTTTTTAACCCATTACCTAGTGTTATTTTTCAAGTTCACTTTAGTTTCACAAAGAAGTCTAAGGAGAAGTTTGGAAAAAAAATTTTAAATTAATTTAAGTCCTAGCCTTGACAGAAATGGGAGCACATATCAACTAAAATTCTAAACATACAAAAATATTAGAGACGTTATACTATTGTATGAGAATTGATGTCCCCAAAGGGAGCAAGTAAACGATGGAGGGAGAGATTAAATTTTTAACAGTTTAGGAGCATTGAGTAATGCAGGTCATGGGATTTTTTTTTAATATTTATTGTTATTGCTTACCCATATGAATATTCAATAGGTTAGTCTATTGCTTATGCTAACTTGCATGCAGGATACTTCGTAGCCACTGACCTTAAAGGTATTCTATAACGCATTATTTCTACTTATATTATTAAACATGTTTGTATACTCTTGAGTCGGTTCTGACCTGTAAAGAATATCCTGGAAAGTGTTTCTCAGACTGTAAATCTTTACAGGAACAGAAAGCCTCATCTTTCTCCTGTGGCTCAGCTACTGCTGTTATTTAGTGCTTTCCAGTAGGTTCAGACAAATAGTGACACTGTGTAGGGCTTCCACGGAGTAGCTAGTGAGTTTGAACTGCCAACCTTGTGGTCAAACTGACCTTGTGGTACAGTGCATTATCCTGCAGTACTACAAAAGGAGCCAACTAGTAATTTTAAAATGCTAACTTTGTGGTTAGCAGCCCAATGTGTAACCCATTATGCCATCAGATTGTTATAATTGAAGAGGACCCTAAACCAGGCCACCACTTGTTTGTCAGTTTGTCATACTATGCTGGCTAGCGTGTTGCTGTGATTCTGGAAGCTATGCCACCAATCCTTTAAATACCAGCAGGGTCACACATGGTAGACAGGTTTCAGACAAGCTTCCAGACTAAGACAGAGTAATAAGGAGAGACAGACTACTTCTGAATATTTACTCAGTGAAAGCCTTATAAACAGCAGTAAAACACTTGTCAGATAGCACCAGAATACTGAACATTGAAATATGATGATGAGCACCAGGATATTTTCAGATGTAGTGCCAGAAAATGAATCACTTATGTTGGAAGGCACTCAAAATACGACCGGGGAAGAACCTACCTACTGAAAGTAGAGTTGACCATGATGATATGAATGGTGTAACTCATGTGCATGTGAAAGTTGGATGGTGAATAAGGAAGACCTTAGAAGAATTGATGCATTCAAGTTGTGGTATTGGTGGAGAATATAGAAAGTACAATGAACTGGGAAGGATGTGCAGCCAGAAAGTTCCTTGGAAGTCAGGATAGCCAGACCTCATCTCTCTTACTTTAGACATATTATCAGGAGGCGCCAGTCCCTGGAGAAAGATTTTAACATAGATTGGTAAAGTGGAGGGACAGAGAAAAAGAGAAAGATCCGCAATGAGATGGATTGGCCCAATGGCAGCAGAAATGGCCTCAAATGTAGCAATGATTTTGAGGTTGGCGCAGGACCAGGCAGTGTTTCATAATGTTGTGCATAGGGTGGCTATGAGGCGGTACTAACTCAATGGCACATAACAACAACAACAACAATCTCATGCATAATTAATTAGGTTTCACTTAGCTTTATTTTTGCAATGTGGATCAAAAGGTGATCACCAGCATTTTAAGGCATTGCTTTTAATTTTACATGTTTGTTGGTAGTTGACAGACAGAAACTACCTTTGTAAGTTCTTCTGCACCGATAAAACTAGAACAGAAAGTAAAAAATGGCATTATTCTGTAGCATACCAAGCCCTCAAGTCCAAGTGTACTGATACCTATATGAACATTTTATTATTCTGAATATTACACTCATTCACTTCCTATCTACAGGTATTAAAGGCTTCCAAGTTCTAAGAAAATATTTGCTTTTCTTGTGCAGTCTTCCACTTGACTTGTTGGGACAAATTTGAGTAGCTTGGATTTTATCGTCAAAAGGAAAAGGAAATATATAATTGGATTTTACTTTAGTATCTCCAAGTTGTACAATCTCCAGCTTTAGCTTTATAAGGTGCAGTCTGTAAATATACTGACAAAATATATGTGTGCTTTATTTTGAAAAGAATCTCCATATACCAATGAGTCCTGTTCGTTATTTGTACAAATTGCTTTCTGGTTTTTTCTTTATGCTCTACTTTTAACCAAGACACTATCATCTCTCCCCTGGACTCTCCTCCCTGGTTCCTCTGATTTACTTGCACGTCTGGCCTCCTCTCACCCACTTGCTCCAGCCCTTTTTCATGTAGTAACTCTTTTACATTTTCAAATTGAATCCTATTTTTCTCTAGCTTCATGCTTCCAATGACTTCCTATGGCTCTTATATTAAATTCTAATGTGCTTGTCATCCCTAAAAGGCTCTATATGACCTTTCCCCTTTCTAGCTCTTTGGACTTATCTTTTCCCTCCTTACTTTGTTCTAGCTACACCAGGCTTCAGATACTTTCTGACTTTCATCTTTTTCATTCGCTTGTTCCTTCTGACAAGAACATGATTTATCCAGATATTTCTAGCCTGGCTCCTTCCAGTTTTCAAGCCTAAATTCAAATGTCATCTTTCTCAAAGGGGCTTCCTTACCACTTATTATAAAATACTTCTTTCAGCAGACTGCAGGTAATTATCACATAAAACTGTTTTCTTTGCTTCAGGGAATTTTATCACAAATTGCATGCTTCTTATTTACCACTTTTGGTTTGTCTGCTGGCTGATTTCCCTTGCTGTTAAGTGCCTTCAAGTCAGTTCCGACTCATAGCCACCCTATAAAGGGTTTCTGAGGAACCACTGGTAGGTCTGAACCACTGGCTTTGTGGTTAGTGCTTATCCTATAGTGCTACACTGCTTTCCCATATTACTAGATAAATGTCAATAAATTAATGAAGAAAGGGCAAATTTAGGAGGACTGGTTGCCATTCAAACTTTTGTTTTAAGGTTAATAACTTCAAAAGTTTTGTATTTTCTTTGAAACAGGCATTAATATCATACAGAATTAAGCTAGGAAACTCTACTTATCTTAAACAGATAAAATGTAATGTAGAGAATTGGTTACAAAGTGTGTGGGGAACATGGGAATGCAACAAGGAAACGAGGCACCCTATAGATTAGCATGTGCAAGAAGATGATCTTACCTCTTAATCAGAAAGAATAAACCTAAGTATTCACTGAAGCCAAGTTTCTGGAAGAAGATGAAATTTGGCAGACATACTTAGTGGGTGGTAGAACCCAGAAAGCGGGGCCTATGTAGGAGAAACAGAGTCACAGTTGGAGAGTTGACCCAACAGAGAGAGCGAGGAGGACCAGAAAAAAACCACATACGAGCTGTCTCCTCTTCTTGCCCTAAAGTCTTTTGCCATTGCCTTCCTTTGCCAAACCCATCTAGGAAGTCAGAGAGCAAAGACTCCTGGGAAGCATAGCTCTCTGGGATACAGAGTCCATTTTAGACAACTTCCAATATTCCTAAATTCAAACTTCATACATTCCATGTTCTGATTACTAATGGAGGCTTACAGCAGTTTCTCTTCATTTTAAGGTGTGTCCCATCAGCAAATGGAAGTCCTGAAGGCTTTACTCCATTTCATCATTTCAATCAATTCTATTTTGAGGAGACAGTTCTTCCCAGCTGTGTTTTTAGTGCCTTCCAATGTGAAGGGCACATCTTCCAGCCCTGTGTCTGACAGTATTCTGGTGTTCTTCATAATGTTTCAATAGTCAATATTCTGATGCTATCTGACAGTGTTCCACTGCTATTCATAAGATTTTCAGTGACTAAAAATTCTGCAGCAGTCTATCTCTCCTTCTTCCTAGTCTGTCTTTGTCTGGAAGCTTAGCTGAAACCTGTCCACTGTGGGTGACCCTGCTGGTATTTAAAATGCTGGTGGCATAGCTTTCAGAATCACAACATGCAAGCCACCAT